CTGGTGATGTTTTATTCTATTTTACTAAGTAGGATGGGAATTAGAGTGTTTAGCAGGTGAATTTGTCAACATTTAATGTCACATACTGTGGTTAACTTATTGCTTTTCTAATGCATGACTGCTAATGCTTGAAATGCATTAGCCTATCTCTATCTTTTTTTTGGGAGGGGAGGGGGGAAATCGAGCATAAACAATAGGTACTTGCTAATTGGAAGTTTAGGATTTTGGCCTTTTTTGGTGGTTTTTTCCTTGGCTAATTATAATCAGCCAATACTTTTTTTTTTGGAAGTACTACCTAATTATTTTTTCGAGTCTTGGCTGATAGCAGTCGGAATTTTGGAGTCAATTTTATCTTTCACGCTGATTTTTACTTTTCCAGGTCTGTTGTTCTGTTTCTCAGAGATCTGGTATTTATAAAGTTCATGTTATGTTCTGAAAATTTTTTCCCTTGAGAATTTTTCTCAGTTTGCTACAGTCAAGAAAAGAAAATATTAACTAGATTTGGCCATGTAGTATGGGTACTGTGTAACTCCACTTTCTCTTTTTGTCTTTCTGCTTCACTCTCTCGTGATCTCCTAGAAATTCCTCACTCAAAGTTACTGGTTTGGTGCTGTCTATAAACTGTATATAGCGGAACCCTTTTTTTTGGTTTCTACATATCCATTTTTCCTGGTTACGAAATGAGGAATTGAGATATACAATCAAGGGATGGTTTTTATACTTTTTTTTTTTGGAGTGGTGCATGATTCACCTCTCAAGGTCATATACATATCTATACTTATTATCCCTTTTTTCTAATGAGATTCCTTTCGATTGATCAGCATCAAAGGGAATACCCACAATAATATATTACCTGAAATACACTAATAAGCAAACACTATTTGGTTGGAAGATAGAAAAATCAATTCCAAGTGCAGTACATAAGTTGCGATTGGCCTTTATGTGAGCTACTCTATTCCATTCTGTTATGAGTGCTCTGATATCCGCAACCGCATAATGAAGCACTCTATCGTCAGGAATGATGATATTGGACTGGTAAATCGGACTAAACTCAGGCTTTACTTTTTTTTCATGGTCACTTCTCAGATTAAGAAACTCAATTCCAGATTTAGAAAGCTTTAATTATGTATTGTATGTGAAATTTGGTGAATTTGCTAAACTTTTTCTTATTTAGTCTCTTTTTTGGGTTTTTATTTCTCATGGCTGTCAGCCTTATAAAATCTGATAATGGCCTAGAAAATGATAAGATAGAGGTACTAAATTTGTCTTTTAAGATTTAATTGTGAGTTGCCATATCTGTCTTTGTAAAAATTTGGCTGCTATTTATGCTATTGGGTCACATTAGGTCAAATGTAAGTGGGCAGTTTTTGGTTGGGAACGGTAGTATACATATTTTGCGGAACTGTGTTAACAAAATGGCACTTCTCACATGTGCAAAAACATCTGATCAGAGGTTGTTTTCATTAGGTAGAAATCGAAATGTTGATATTTTGGATAGTTAATTTTAGTGTAAATTTTTGTTTGTTTGAATGGTGTTATTTTCATGACCTTACTATATTGTGTATGGAAGTGGTAATTAGTTTTATGGATCTAGCAAATTCAATGTTTACTTTGTTTTGGTCTCTAATTTGTGGGGAATTTTATTAGGTTGATATATTAATCATGAAGGAAAAAAGCTGCCATAGTTGTTGCCATCTTTTAGTTCGTAGTGGTCTTTAAGATATTAGTTTCTTGTGCAATTTTTTGTGGTGATTGAATTTTAAGGTATTGGCTTAACTACATGAATGGAAATTAATCAATTTGAATGGAAATTGGAGTTGGGAGAGTGAAAATAGCTATTCTATTTTGTTGATTTTAAGTCGTGCAAGATTTTTCACTCAACAGGCTCATGCGCATCAGGTGCTCAATTTCCATTCAAATTAATTAGTTTCCCATTTGAGGATGAATTGGTCAAAAATTGATAGTTTAGATACTAAATGCGTTATACCAGAAAATTTGAGGATGAAATGTATTCATAACTCAAAATTTAGGGATGAAAAGTGACATTTTTCCTTAAATGTTCTATTCATTCACCAAAAAAAGAATTAACTTGCTGCATAACTGTAGTTTTGCCTCTTTAATCATAGACTACGATGTTTAGTAGCTTAGAAATTCTTGTTAGAAAATTCAGTTTTAGTTGACTTAAATCTATATTTGCAAAACATGGTGTTCTCTTAGATTTGTAACATCTCAGTAAGATAAAGCCTGGAAAACTGAACCTTACAACAAATTTATTTTACTTTGTAAAAATGAACTTAATTGAAGAAAGCTTACATAGGAAATTTTGCAAAAAAACATGAAGATGGTGGTCCAATTGATAGGTTCAAAGAGGTGAATGTGTTATAGACCTTCAATTTGTCTTGAAATTTTTATACAGGAAAGAACTTTACGAAAGGGCATATTACTTTTGAAGAAGATTTGGTAAAACTCACTGATTTGTTTTAACAGGATGGATAATCTGTAGTAAATATGACACATCCAGATGTTCCAGTATGAGTTGCCTCTACTTTGAGATAAATGACACATACTTCTTCCTAGAGTTTGAGAATACAATCACTGCTTCGACACATTCAATTTTTTCCCCTTTTTTTGTTCTTTTGGTGTTAGTTTTCTAAGTATATTATTGGTTGTTGTTACAGGAAGGAATATGAAGACTTGAAGTTGACATCTCTAACAAGTAGTTAAAGCTGGTAATATTTATTTGTGTTCTACCATTTATACTATAAACCATATTGTCGTTTTCTATAAACAGTCTCTCACCTAATTTAGCCTATCTTGATTGCATTATTGATAAAGATGTGCTGAGAAATGAGCTTCAGTTATGGATCCAAATGGTGTTTTTTTCTATTCCTCATGAGATTTGCTTCGGTTGTATGATTTCTTCTCAAGTTAAATTGAAAAGTTATTCTGTTTATTGATTTTATTACATGGACGCTTATCTTGGGAGATTGGTATTGATCATCATTTAAGCTGTGAGGAATGAATGAAAAAAAACATACCTAGCAGAAAACCCTTCACCTTTTTTCGAGTTCTTTGGGGCATTGTGATTTCTTTCACTAGCTGGTCCTTATTGAATCATCAAAACAAATCTAATCTTTTTATGTTGGCAAACCTCAATCCTCTCCTCTTTTGAATACCTTTGATTACTCCTTTTTAGAACCCAAGCAGACCATAACTAGGGAAATATACGAGGTTATGATTGTATAGAGACTCGTCCTAAGGATGGCTTTTGAAAACTTATCATTGGTAGGGTTTCAAAAGGCATTATTGGAGTTGCTGGAGTTATAAGGAATTGATATGGATTTTGGACCATCGGATCAGTAAAAGATTAGGAATAACTTCCAATCTTCTAGCTGAACTTTTCGGATTGAGAGGAGGACTAAGGATAACTATAGATCATTATTGCTACAAACCGGAATTGGAAGTTGATGCTATTAATATTTTTAATCTTTTAAACCAATATGATACTGCTATTTACAATGTGCTATGGTTATATCTGATTGTAGGTATCTTATCGTATTTTGGCAGCAAGTCTTGATCAAAGCATATAAGCAGTGAAGCAAATCAGATGGTAGATTGTTTAGCTAATGTATAGGATGCTAACAACAGGGTATCTTTTATTATGATGTTATGCCCCACCATTTTTAGTTGCAGCTAGATGACTGTTTGGGGATTTTATTCTCGTTTTGTATCTCAATATGATTGCATATTATTTTAAAGTTCCTTTTATGCAAAAAAAATTCCAAAACTACAAAAAGTTAAAACTGTAGCTTATTTTCACTATTTAATAAAACTACAAAAGCATAGCTTATTTTCACTACGAATGCACTTTTATGTAACTTTTCATATTTAATATCTAAATTTGAATAATTGGGCATTTATGGGCACGATTGAAAATTACACCGCACATCGTGCGGTGTTATCCTCCTAGTTTTATAATAAAACGCATTAGATGAATGCGTTTTTTGTTTACAATATGTACCACTTTTTTTCATTTCTTCATTCTGGACTTCGATTATGTAAGGTTTTTGTTTTAAATATTATCTTATTATTTTATCGAAGTTATTATTAATTTAGCTCACTAATGGAAGTCAAGATCCAAAAAAATTGTTATTTCATAGTTGTTATTAATTTAGTTGGTAGAGATTTCATTTCAGGTTTGCAAAAGGCTTAAAGGTTTTGAACTTTGGATTTTACATATGTATACACTAATTTTGTATCTCAAATGTTGGTAGTAAAATTCAAAAAGTATTATAATAATATTATTACGAAAGGAAAACTAGTAGGTTTTGTATTTAATATAAATTAAATACGTGAAAGTAAAAAAAAGAAATTACCCACTTTTTACCAACTCTTTATGGGTTTCTTCTATTAGTTGAATAAAGTACTAGCTATGGGGGCAGGCATTTTACTCTGAATCATATAATTTATGTTAAATATATAAATGTTTGTAAGTAAAATTTAAAAAGTGTTATACTAATATTTTTATGAAAGGAAAACTAGTATGTTTTGTATTTAACATAAATTAAATATTTGAAAGTTAAAACAAAATTAAATTGCCCATAACATACCAGTTCTTTATGAAAAACTTGTAGGTTTTATATTTAACGTAAATTAATTGCGCGAAAGTAACACTCGTAGGTAATTTAATTAGTTTAATCAGTTACTTAATTTGTTGACAAGAAACAAGTTTCTTTTGCAAAATTTGGCCATTAGGTTTCTCCAAATAATTAGGGTATAAAGGCAAATTTTCACAATCTTTTGTTAGCAATGAGCTCCAATTTCCTTCTAAGGGAGGGCAGTGCTTAATTTATATCACCTGTTAAGCAAACACTTGCATATTCAAATATGTCATAAGATGATATAATATCACATCTAATTTCATATACTAAATTTACTTGGTTTTCAATCCAAATTCTCTTATACAATAAGAATTCTTATAACAAGACAACTACAATAAATCATTTGAGAATGCCTCCAGAGTAACACAACTTTTGCCTTCTGACTCTTTTAGATGGTGGCCGCAAGGGTAGATGCTGATTTTTACCACGACCTTTACAAGTGTCACGCTTATTTCGATCAACATGTTCTTGTGTTTGATGTTGCAAATCAAACTCCAGATGTGTCTGATCATGCTTATCACTTTGCACATGCATCAGATCATGTTCACCAGCTTGTGCATGTGTTGTATCAGCTTCTGTATGTTCATCCCCTTGACCTTGCTCGAGATTGATTTCAGAAGTCCGATCACATGTCTGATTGAACTCATTAGCTGTTTCCTCATTTCCCACGTCTCTAGTCTCTTGATTCAACATATGATCTCCTACAAACTCATCCTGACTTAAAATCTGATTTTGTACACTGTTTTGATCAGTTTGGACGTGTTTTCGCCTTCGTCCCCCTCTATGGATTCTTTGTGAACCTTCTTGTGTGGCTCTTCGAACACGTGCCCGTGGAACTACATGTTGCAACTCTTCATCCATTGAGAGCGGCATTATTGGATTCAATGGTAGGAGTTTCAATCTCATCTCACATCCAATGGCACGCATAGTTGATTGGCACATATCCCGAATATCAGTGAGAGCAGGAACAGAGATGGCCTCATCATGTGGTAATGCTTCAAGTGATCTATAATAGACACGATGCAATGTATCTACCTGAAATGTTATCAAAATAAATTCTAATGCTGCCAATACAAAACTTTAAACAAAGTAGTCAATTAAAAATATCTAAATAATGGTTACCATCATCTCATTAGCTGGTGCAATACCCTGATAACCAGCTGGTAATAGTGGTCTCAATGATGGGTTGCCAATAAGCAATCTTGTACGCTGCTTATACCAAGTCATATACTCTAAGCTAGCCTCACCAGGAACCTCCTCGAGTTCACCTTCTTGTATACTTGAAGCTCGATCCATCCACATTTGGATGTGGCGGTAGTGTTTAAGGGTCCAATCTGTATTTCGTCTACCTCGACGATCCACTTGATGCAAACTCCAATCCGTGTCACATGGTGCCGGAATATGCTGAACAAATCCAAATTGTCGCATACACCTATCTGGTAGGTGTAGCTCTACTATATCCCAACAAATAAGTGCAGTTCGACTACGCCACAATTCAGAACTAGCCAAACAACACTGAGGCAATGTCTCTAAAATGTGTTGAGGATATGGTTGCCATACAAACTATGAATAACAAAATGGAAAATTACAAAATAAACTAAAAAAATTTGGTTGTAACTTGCAATTTACCATGATACATGAAATATGCATGAAATAAATACTTACATGATCATCTCTCAAGCTATCTAGTTGATCTCGATATACAACTAATACATGCATTGCTACTCTAGAAAGGTTAAAATCGACATTCCACCTACAGAATAATCAACAATACACCGTCATTGTTACGGTCATGTATCTAAATTATATACCTAATATATCCTAACACTAATAGGCAAATACAAACTAACCTTGCACCATAAGGACTCTCAGCTGGCAACTCCATTTTAGGCACTGGCCTATCTGGACATAAGGTAGGAAATCGTTCCCATGTCCAAAGCTAAAACAAAAATTAGGATATTTAACAAAAATAGGTCATAATTGTTAGAAACCAAAAAAAAAATTCAAAGAGTTTTAGTGAAAATACCTGTAAAAGAACCAATGGTCCAGCAATCTCTTGTGAGGTACAAAGAGTAGCTCTACATAGTCCACGATATAAAAAAGCAAGAACTGCACTCCCCCAACTATATGTTCGAGTAACAGTAAAATCTCTTAGAAATGACAAATACATTAAGCTGACCATGTTGCCAGATTTATCTGAAAACAGGTGACCACCAATAAGCTGTAAAATACGCATCCTAGCATGACATCTAATATCATCATCTGATGCATCACTAGGAAGTCTGACAGCTAAGGGAGCATCTAAACAACCCAATAATAGTTTCCCTCCCTTAATATCATCTGTTTTAGGTCGAAATCCTAACAAGTCCTCACAAATCGGCAACCAATCCTCTGATTTTGAGTGCATGAAGTTGTAGGTGCAGGTAATATCGGAGATTCAACATCTTGTGTCAGCAAATTTACATATGGAGCCATTTCCTTACTGGTGAAGATGTTATTGCCCTCCTGACAATTGACAACTGATTCTCGTACAATGTATAGATGAACCATAGTATTTGGGTACTCAGCTGCTAAAGAAAATATCAAATCCATTCCCTCTTCGTTCATTATTAGTAATGGGCAAAATTTGAAACCCCACGGTCCATGATCAGGATATTTGCAGATGAGCTTCAAATCTATAGTTATTGTATCCACTCCAATATATGAGTGTATATTACTTAGTAAGTCTCCAAATCTTATCCTGTGGTTGATTGTAACTATCTTGCCAATTGGGCCTATAAATCCCAAATCAGGATAATATTGGATATGACCATCCCAATATAAAGCAAGTTTCAATGGATGTTGAAGATCCATTAAAACATATGCTAACAAGCCTTCAAATGCAATGTAAACTACAGTCAATTCATCTCGAATGTTGAAAAATACTATAAATAAAAAGTATATTTTAAAACCAGTCATATCTTGTAAATGTAGGTAACTTCTAAATACAACAGAAGCAAAAATTCCAACCTTGGAAGCTCAACATATAAAAGTATACTAGTAGAAGAAATGTCATAAACACACGGAAGCCATTTATATTTCAACCAAAAATAGTGTATGAAAAAAAAAAAGAAAAAGAAATTCAGCACTCACTTTGAAGAGAATGAATACTCTGGCAACAATTTATCCTTTGAATCTGCAAAAAAATAAACTTACTTTAAGTTTGAGGGAAAAAAAAATTTCAGCACTTACTTGAGAGGGAAAAAGAAAGAAAGAAAGAAACCTGAGAGTAGATGATCTGTAGAATTTGAGAAAATTCCAGAATCTCTTTGTCTAATACTCTCGCCCCTTGTAGGGTATCTTCCTCTGTCAATAAACCCCAAAGAATCATCTCAGGTTTGCTTTTTGCTCTTTAAAATAATTAAATGCATCCATTACATAAACCCTAAATTTGGGATTTTAAGTATTACCTGATAATATGCCTAATTAGCTCAGCAGTCTCCCAATCACCACCCTTGCTCTTACGTTGGCTGCGAATGTGGGATAAGATGTAAGAAAAAATTGAATGGGTGGTGCATTTTGTTTGCCGCCTGAAGAAGTTAGGGTAGAAAAAGAGAGGGATTGAGGGGAAATTAGTTTTTAGACCCCTTATGAAGTACCGGGGAGTAGAACAGGCTTCTTAGATATGATAAACAACTCATTTAGCAAATGCGTTTTTTTATTAATAAACGCATTTCAGAAATGGGTTTTAAGGACAAAAAACGCATTCATCCTATGAGACTTTTTAAAATAAGGCATTCTAATAATGCGTTATTTAACCAATTTTTTTATATTAAAATAAATTGATGAAAATTAAAATAACGCATTTGACAATTGCGATTTTATTTATAAAAACGCATTTCCTGGATGCGTTTTTCATCCTTTGGGAAGATACTAAAAAATCACCGCCCTTTGGGAAGTTAGTTTAAAAAGTCACACTTTTTGGGAATTTACTCCATTTACTTCCTAGTCACAGTGAGCAGTGGTCAGATCACGATCACGTTATGTGGTTTTAAAATTCACAAGTCAACCCTCAAAATGAATGCCATCCAACAATAATATATCATTCTCGGCAATTGATTATTCTTCTCAAATCAGTATTTTATAAATCATCATTTTATTATTATGGAATTAAAAGAGTTTTGGCCAATGGTTTAAAGGAAATGTTAGTTCAGTTTTTCTGAGAAATGTTCAGTCGAAAAAGTTGAATGAGAATATGTCGGTTTGCAAACATAGTTGCTGCTTTAGAAAGTTTGGCAAACAAGCCAACAACTTGAAGCTCATCCGGGAATACCAAGCCTTCTATACTAAAACCAATATAAATATATATATATATATATATATATATATATGAGGGCAGTTATTTTAATCAGAGTTGTTTCTCACTACTACGTGGCATGCTTAATTGAACAGAATTAATGGGTTATAGGTCACTTGGATTTTACCTATATTGAATCCTATTTGGATTGTATTATATATTTAAAAATTATCTCTAATTTTAAAATAACTTTAAAAAACAACTGATTTTATCATAATAGTACTTGCTTTTATCAAATTATTACATAGAACTATAGTAAATCTTTTCTAAATCACAATTATTGAAAATTTACATATCTCATAAATTACTTCCTTTCACCACCATATCGTTGATTAATATTCAAATTATTCATCATCTTTTCCCTTATTGTTATTATCTTGTAAATACAAAATTTTAATTATCTAAAAAATATTTAAAAAAAAGAATGTCCACCAAGTTTTTAATATGGGGTACATTATTTGATGTATACTATTATATTACAATGAAAGTACATAAACAAATTTTTCAAAATTAGTAAATAATTGAACATTTAGAATACATTAAGTTTTTAAAGTTAATATGAGTGAACACGTAGGATTGTTGTTAATTTTTGCATTTAAATTATTCATATTTGTGTAAATTCACAATAAATAAAAAAAAGACCGTGCTAAGGTACGGACATAATTCTAGTTATGTAATAAGTAAGAAGAATAATCTATTGCAAAGTAAGAAGTGTTTCATTTCAAGGGTTGACTAGTGAACTTTTTAAAATCAATTGTCCCATGATCATGGTCTAACCACCTCCTTGAATTTTGGTGATTAACCCTAATTTTGAACTTGTACTACTTACCTATTTATTATTAAGAATCCCAACCGCATACTCCTTGGATTTTTATACGTACAATAGTTTGATTGGAAATAATTTGTACAGCACTGACCTAATGCAAGTTGGAATTGCTTGGTTTTATAACCCCAATAATTGCATCTTCCATGACTTCGCCTATCGTAAGTCAAAGGTTTTGCATCACATTTTGCTTAAACAATTTATCTAAAACATATCAAATTGGCCTTCGAATTGACGACGTTAGACTAAACCATAGAGATAAGGTGAAGGTTTTTTTTTTTTTTTTTTTTGCGACTTTCTTTACAGGAATAGGGTGAATTTGCTCATATGCCCTTCAATATTTATGAACATTTTGATTGTTTTCAACTTATACTTTCTTCATTTTCGATCTCGAGTATTGATTTTCAATTTAGTTTTGGCAGGTTTGTACCTTGACAAATCAACTTGTATTGACCCATGAGTTTCATAAAATTATCAAACTTACAATGTACAAGCTCTGTGAAGAATGGACGGTATTACATGATTACATCACCAGTAATTGAATGGGATATATACAGTCTAGTGGTCAAGGGACTATTGGCTCCGTTTGGATTAGCTGTTTTTTGGATTGTTTTTCAAAAACACCACTGTAGCATTTCGAATCTGAAAAACAAGTCCGTTTGGATTAGTTGTTTTTGGGGTTGTTTTTCAAAAACTATATGAAAAACTTTTACTGTAAATTTTTTTGGATTATTTTTAGAGGTATTTTTGAAACATATTTTTGAGTATTTTTAGAATATTATAATTTTTATATAAATATACATTTATTCATTTATAATACATTTATATTTACAAATGTATAAATGTATATTATTATAAATTATAAATTATAAATGAATATTATATAAATGTATAAATGTATAAATTATAATTTTTATATAAATATACATTTATGCATTTATAATACATTTATAAATAAATATATTTATATAAAAATATATAAATGTATTATATTCTTATAATACATAATATAAATATATTTATAAATGTATAAGTGTATATTATTATAAATGTATAAATTATAAATGAATATTATAAATATATTATAAATTATAAGTGTATATTATTATAAATGTATAAATTAATATATTATAAATATATATTATTATTATGTAGAAATGTATTTATATAATTAATATAAATGTATATGTGCATTAATATTATGTATAAATGTAAAATTAATATTATGTATATTAATATAAATGTATAAATGTATTATATTATATATAATACATAATATAAATGTATATTTAAATGTATAAGTGTATGTTATTAAAAATGTATAAATTATAAATGAATATTATATAAATGTATAAATTAATATATTATAAATATGTTTTAATATTATGTTGAAATGTATTAATATAATTAATATAAATGTATACATGTATTAATATAATTAATATAAATGTATGCATGTATTAATATTATGTATAAATGTAAAATTAATATTATGTATATTAATATAAATGTATAAATGTATTATATTATATATAATACATAATATAAATGTACATTTAAATGTATAAGTGTATGTTATTAAAAATGTATAAATTATAAATGAATATTATATAAATGTATAAATTAATATATTATAAATATGTTTTAATATTATGTTGAAATGTATTAATATAATTAATATAAATATATAATTAATATTATGTATAAATGTAAAATTAATATTATGTATATTAATATAAATGTATAAATGTATTATATTATATATAATACATAATATAAATGTATATTTAAATGTATAAGTGTATGTTATTAAAAATGTATAAATTATAAATGAATATTATATAAATGTATAAATTAATATATTATAAATATGTTTTAATATTATGTTGAATAATTAATATAATTAACATGTATTAATATATGTATAAATGTAAAATTAATATATATTAATATAAATATGTATAATTATATAATTATATATATATATATATATATGTATATATATGTATAAATATATATATATATATATATATATAATTTATATAACATATAATATTTATGTAAATATATTATAAATATATAAAAATATATTTTAAATAAAATAAAATATTTATGATATGTATATGTAAATATATAATATTAGAAATGTATAATATATATAATATACATTAATATTAATATAATTTATATATAATATACATAATTGAAATATACATATTAATATATATTATAAAACAAAATTGCATAAATATATTTATAAATTTATATATAAATAAACGTATTTATATAAATCTATAATATTTATTTCAATTGATATAATATATATAACATTATACATAATTGAAATAAATATATTTATATTAATATAATATATATAATATACATAATTGAATATACATATTAAAATACATAATTGAAATATACATATTAAAATATATAATTAAAATATATTAAAATATAATTGAAATATACATATAAAATACATAATTAAAATATACAAATTGAAATATACTTATTAAAATATACAAATTAAATATGCATAATTGAAATATATTTGGAGTTGTTTTTGATATATTGTTTGGATTGGTGTTTTTGAAGTTGTTTTTGAAATACACATTTACTGTAACATTTGGAATGTGAAAAACAGTTTTTCAAAAACAGGCTCAAAAACACCAATCCAAACGTACCCTATGTTTTTGAAGGCACTGAAGATGATGCAATTTGAAATTTTGCCACGTCACTTTTTTTCCAATGGAAATTTTAAACCTCACAAGAAGAAGAAAGAGGAGGAAATGATTGACAACAAACAAAGATCTTGCAATTGACTAGTTTTTTATTTTTTATTTTTTAAATTTAACTAGCAAGTAGTAGTATATAACATGGCTGAATTGTCTGAGTCGGGAAAATATGAGGCTGAACATATCCAGGATTATCCAAGTACGCCCATTTTAACTTGGGTTTAATTTTTGGGAGAATTGTAATTTTGGTCCCCAATCTATAGTGTATGCACGGAATTATCCCCAATCTATTTCGAAAATCAATTTTGGTCCCCAATCAATTTTGCACTAAAGTGGACAATTAACGGAATCTCTTCAATTTCAATCGGAACTAAGTCACATGAGATCACGTGCCGGCACCTAAAATCCTTTTTCAATTTTTTAATTTCTAAAACACATTTTTTCTAGTGGCTTGGCTTTTTGCATGGACACTCCTGTCCCTTTAACTAGATCAATCTCTTCCTTGCCAATTCTTTTCCAATCAAAACTCTGAATTAGAGATCTCAAGGCAAACCCACCACCCACTGTGCTAGGCCAGAACCAGGGCAAGATCTCCTTCCCATCCCAAATGGAATCAGCTTTGATGGCTGAACCTGCAAGTCTTCGAATCTCTTTGGCTTGAAGCTTGTTGGATCATCCCAAACATTTGGGTCCCTGTGAATTATCCATGCATTAACTAGCAAAATTGTGCCTCGCGATATATTGTATTCCCCAATTTTATAGTCATTGGACGACTCATGTGGCACTAGCATTGGTGCTGCTGGGTACAACCGAAGTGTTTCTGAAATAATGTTATGAAGATAAGGAAAGATTGGATAGATCATGTTCGTCGACCAATCGATCAGTCCCTACTTGAGCATCCAATTCAGCTCGAGCTTTCTCTAGCACCTCGGGATGGTTGAGCAAAAAAGACAAGGCCCATTCTATAGTTACCGATGAAGTGTCTGTTCCAGCCGTAAGCATAACCTACCAATAATATACTAGTGGTTCAATTGAATGCTCATTCCAATTCAATGGTGAAGAATGGCTAATAGGGAAAGAATATGCTTTCCAATATAATCCTTTTGATTTCCAGTTACTATCATCCGCTCTTCTCTCTCGGCTGCTTGCTTGTAGGGGTGGCAATTTTCGACACGACCTGAAAACACGACACGAAATTAATGGGTTTGGGTTGAGGTTTTGGGAATTCGAGTTGGACCCGATGAACCCGAAAAGAAAACAGGTCGATTTCGGATCAACCCGTGGTGACCTGATATGACCCGATATGACCCGTTTACGAATTAAAAATAATTTAATAAATATAAAAATAATTTTATCTAACTAACCTAAGTTATTCTTTTTTTCAAAGGCATTAATTACTTAATCATAAATGAATTTATTTAATTTGTGTGAAGTTGAAATTATTATATTTGGACAAATAATATATTATATTATTTTTTACTTTTATACTGTTTTAATTTATTTTATATTTTGTTTGGGATAAAACACTTTTACGGTGTTTAATTTATTTTAGATTTGGTTTGGAATTACTTATTTAAATTTTTATTACTTGATTATGTAATTAGTTTTGTGAGAAATTGATTTTATTAGAAATTACAGTGATAAATTAATAAATTAAAATTAAGTTTCGGGTCATTTCGGGTCGACCCGCCAACCCGTCAACCTGAAATTTTCGGGTTCGGGTCAGCATACCTGACCCGTCACGGGTTGGCGGGTCGGGTTCGGGACAACAGATTTTCTGGCGGGTTGACCCGAACCCGACCCGCCAACCTGATTTGGACCTGAATTGCCACCCCTACTTGCTTGCTTACTTATGAAGTAGTACTGCTGCTCTTGTTGTTTGTACAGGAGAGTTGAACTGGGTTCGTCTCTGGCGTTGATTGTAGATTATCTCCATTACTAATGGAGGTAAGAGCGACACTTGGACTTGGAGGCGAAGCTGAGCTTCTTACTCGTGCTGTGGGTTCTGGGGATTTGAAGACGGCGGCCAACAAGAGGAGTAATTTGGATTGTGAGATTACCCCTTTCATGTCTTTGTTTAATACGACAAAAGGTAAGATAAAACTGAAAATATTAAAAAACGTGTTTTAGAAATTAAAAAATTGAAAAAAAGGTTTTAGGTGCCGGCACGTGATCTCACATGACTTAGTTCCGATTGTAATTAGAGAGATTCTGTCAATTGTCCACTTTAGCGTAAAATTGAATAGATTGGGGATCAAAATTAATTTTTAAAATAGATTGGGGATAATTCCGCGCATACACTATAGATTGGGGATCAAAATTACAATTCTCCCTTAATTTTTTGTGCCCATATCAAACTAAGCCAATCTATGTAGAAGGCTTGGACCTAGTACGTATATTAAAAGGCCTATCTCTGACTAAAGTGAGGATAAATTACTTGTTACCTGTGTGTGGTTTTATATAGGGAAAATGGCATGTTTCATCCTTACATTTCGCAAAAATATTTTTTTCGTTCCTCACTTTCAAAATGAAGCAAATTTGTCCCTGACATTTAAAAATTAAACCTATTACATCTCTGAACCTAATTTTCAATCTGAATCAAACCATTCAATAATCTAGTAATAAATTTCGAAAATAGAATTGATAGATCACTCGGTCAATTTCATCATATTCACATGACAATTATTAAACTAAAAAAAAATTTATAACATAAAAGGCCATTCTTTTCTTGGAATAGTAGGGTTTTTTTTTGGGTAAATCTTTTCATACACCGTTAGTATATCCGCTTGCGAATCTAGATGTGTATCATAAATATAAAATTTGGTGTTTAAATTTAAATTGAAATGATATGGCAGTACATAAAACCGTCAGTGTATACAATGATAATGTAGGAAAGATTAATCTTTCTTTTTTATGTTATAATTTTTTATTTTTTCTTTTTGGGTTCATTAAATTTTACATGAATATCAAGTTGAGTTAATCAAGTGATCTACCAATTACACCCCAAAATTTGTAATCAGGATGATTGGTGGTTTGATTCAGATTGAAATTTGGGTTCAGGGATGTAAGAACTTCAGTTTTTAAATGTTAAGGACGAAATTGCTTCGTTTTAAAAGTGAGGGACAAAAAGAATATTTTTGTGAAATGTGAAGGATGAAACAGATCATTTTCCCTTTTATATAATGTCACATGAACTTTTTAGAGATTTAAAATAGTCATATAATCCCTATGGTTTTATGTAAATTTTAAGATAAGAAAAGATGGAATGCACAACCAATTATAGCATTTATACCAAACGTATTTTGAAAGAGTGTGTGATAATGTCAGATGAACTTTTTAGAGTTTTAACATGGTCATATAATCCCTATGGTTTTATGTAAATTTTAAGATAAAAAAGACGAAATGCACAATCAATTATAGCATTTATACCAAACGTATTTTGAAAGAGTGTGTGATAAAGTTTTAATATTCATTTAACACCCTTATGATTTGTACAAATATCCACTTTACTTACTTGTGGTTTTTGCATTTATCTACATAATCTTCTTATGTTTTTATACAAGGTTTCAGGGGAGGGGGGAGAGGAAAGGGGAAGGAGAGGAGGAAGAGGAAGGGAGGAGGAGGAAAGAGGAAGGAGAGAAAGAGAGAGAGAGGGAGAAAAGAAAGAAAGGAAAAAAAAAAAAAAAGAGTCACCCGCCCCGATGCCGGCACCGGTGGAGTGGCGGCCGGTGGCAGCCGTTGGTGGAGATGGTGGTAGATTGATTTGTGGGGAGGAAGAAGAAAAAAGACAAGAAAAAATTTTTGTTTGTGTTTGGGCATTTGAGGTATGCATTTAAAAAAATTTGGGGAGTTTGAAATTATTATAATTAAAGTTGTTAAAAATCTTGTAGAAAAAAAAGCTAGACAAAAAACTTGAGCTCCAAACAGACAATAGAATATAAGTATACGACTAGGAGCAAGTCACAAAACAAACTAAACACAAGGAGGGAAGAAAAAAAAGAGGAAATTCCACAACCAAAGAATACATGGTCCCAAGTATTTAGATGCCAGCACTTGACACTTGCTACGCATACAAATTTTTTGCCGGAAGTGGCAGATCATTTTTCTTAGGCATTGTAAGACCTGGTAAAACTTGAGTATCAACGTCGTCTTTCTTGATCCCAAAAGGCAATTCCCAGTCAAAAGAGTACAGAAGACTGGCAAGTCCAACTTCCACCATTGCTAGTCCCAGAGAATATCGAGGGCAGCCCCTTCGGCCAGCTCCAAATGGTATCAGTTGAAAGTCTTTCCCTTTCATATCTACACTAATATTCAAGCATCGCTCAGGCAAAAACTCATTTGGATTTTCCCAATACTCGAGCTCTCTTCCAATCGCCCAGACATTTGTGTAAACTATAGAATTGAACTGGATTTCGTGACCATTTATAATGCAATTTGCTAGTGTCTGTCTTGGAACTGAAAGTAGAGCTGGAGGATACAATCTGAAGGTCTCCTTGACAATTGCCTTGAGATAAGGGAGCTTTTGAATATCATCTTCGTTTACTATATCTTTATTTCCAACTGCACCTCTAATCTCTGCTTGTGCCTTCTTCAATATTGCTTCAGGGCTCTTCATCAGTGCTGCCATTGCCCAGATTATCGTAGCTGCAATAGTATCCGACCCCGCACTAAATACATCCTACAAGGAAATATTGAAACAGATTAGCAAAATGGGATTGATCCAAATTCTTAAAAGGAAAAACAAAAATGAGAAATCGTTCAAAACGTTCCCACGTTTCATTAAATGAATTTCTTGATCCCTCACCTTTAAAATATTAAATTTACGTTCCTTACAAATTCAAATTAATAATATTTGATCCTTACCTAAATTTTTGACCACTTTTTAATCCAAAATCACTATGTGACCACATGCAATTATTTTTTATATACAAGAAGGCTAGATTCCACTTTTTAATGGCAAAAATGAATATAGATTAAATCAGATCCTACTTTTTTAGATGCAAAAGTGAATATGGATCAAGTTATTTATTTAACTATAAATGAGATCTAACATTTTTGCTCCGAAAAAAAATAACAATATGTGGGTCACATAATTGATTCAAGATAAAAATGATCGAAAACCTAGGTTGGAACTAAATTTTATCAAATTAATTTTATAAAGGACATAAATTTATAATTTTAAAAGTGAAGGACAAAGAATTTTATTTATTGAAATGTAAAGGGCGTTTTGAACCCAAACAAAAAAGTAGGCCCTTTGAACAGGTAATTAATCACCATGAGCATTGCTTTTGATGTGATCTTGCGTTAGATCAAAGGAAGTTGATTGTTCTTGAAGTAATTGAAGCATGATGTCAATGATATCACCGTTCATGGACTCTGGCCTATTTGGATTTAAGTGTTCGTCGATGAGTTCTTGAAGAAATGAATCTAACTTACTGCAAGTCCTCTCAAGTCGAGAACGCATCCCATTGAGGCTATCAAGCCAACCAATTGAAGGAATATAGTCTGAGAAAAAGAACCCCACGAATGCGGCCTCCATTTCTTGGAGGAGATCATGGAATCGTCTTCTTTGTTGATCTTCCTCATCATACCTCTTTCCGAAAGCAATTCTACAGATAAGCGTACATGAAAGTGATAGTAAAGTCTTACTCAAATTCGTCACTTGAGATGAAGATGCTTCCTTGGATGTCTTTCTGATCATCCGGGAGACTTCATCTTCACGAATACCACGACATGACTGCACCCTTCTGTTGCTGAAGAGATGAAGAACAGAAAACTTTCTCAGCTCTCTCCATTGCTCGCTGTATGGATAGAAGGCGATATCCAAGCCGTTGTAAGAAAGCATTCGGGAATCTAGGAACAGTGGGCGACTGAAAATGTCGAGTCATGGTTTTTCACAACTTCTTCAGCCATTCTTGTGGATGAAACCACAAGCAGTGGAAAGGATCCAAGCTTAAGAGACATGAGAGGACCATATATTTTGGAAAGTTGCCAAAGGTATACATGAGGGGCTGAGGTATCAAACTGAAGCAAGCTTCGAATGACTGGAATCCCCGAGGACCTGGTGGTGGAGGAATTTTTGTTGTTGATGATCTCATCCTGTTCTTTTGAAGAACGCTTAGGACGACAACTAGAAGTGCTGAGATTAAAGCAATCAATATCTCCATCATCTGGCTGGAAGTAAGATATGATGGCCTTTGTAGGATGCAAATTTGATCAGATAGAAGCGAACTCGAATATTTAGACTTTGTTGAGCTTGAATATGAGCTTGAGTTTGAGTTGCGTTGTGGATTTGAACAAAAATTGGGTTCTTTTTTTGGATAATAATTGATGAGAATACCAAGATGTGAGTAGCGGGATACGGATTGAGAAGGCGAATTTGCTTGTATCATGAATATGTTTTTTAATTATTTTTTTATTTCACACACATCATATTAATATAAATATTATATGATAGGTTGTAATTTTATTATTTATTTTATTATTAATTTTTTCCTGATGTGAATTAATTATTAGATTCTACTCATTTTTAGTAATTTACATTTATTTCAGAGAGTAGAACGAAAATATCATAACCAAGATCAATTTGATAGTCATCGAAAAGAATTCAAATGAAAGACATTCAGGGGCATTTTTGAAACAAAAAAAATGTAAGCCCTTTTCGATAATTTAGCCGAAGACAGCAAGGGAAAAAAGGCTGGTGTCTTCGGTTTTGAAGGGAGAGCCGCCGCACAGCATTAGTGGCAATAAGAATAGGAAATAGCTGAGGCCATTTGGAGAGGAACGATTTTTACATGGCAGACATGGAGCACTACTTTGAATTAGCTTTTGACTTTTCTTCCTTTTTAGCTCTTAGTAGCTTTCTTTTCCTCCGTGTGTCAGAGAAAGCAAAAACACTCAATTGCTCCTGTAGCTTGCTTCTCTTATTGAATAGAATAAATTGAATTTTTCCAATTCTTGGAGACGGTGGCTGCAACTTTACATGAATTTTTCGCATCAAATATGAACTAATTTCTTTATTTTAGTTAAGAAATAACGAAGGTTTTGATTCACCTAAAAATTATGAGATCGATTTAATTTTATTTTTTCTTTTTATTTATTGGTATTCGCATATTTTTTTATTACAGCACTTACGATTGTTCAATTAATTGATTTTCTTGAATCCGAATAATTAGTTAATTAGGTAGTCTATTATCAATTGGGGCATTAAATGCGTAATTGTTTAATTGCTTTGAAATAGTGACAACTGGCATAATTAGATTTGTGTCAGAGGAATACGTGGGCTAACCTAAAATAACCCTAGTAGTACGTTATTTGGTTAGAATAGAACTCCTCTAATACGTAAGGCAATTGGAGAATTAAATCTTATGGGTGTACCTAAGCTTATTTCTCAATTAGAGTAGTGACTAACGGGCGTACCTTAATCACCAACACAGTAAGGAGGGGTTGACTGTCATCGCTTGTTTGGCAGTTGTAACCTATTTATTGGTAAATAATTGGAATTGGCTTTGCATCGATGATCAATTAGGTGAACCATTGCTGAAGTTATTTCTTGGCTAGATCCTTAATTATCACCCATTTGATTTTAATAATTTGTTATTTAATTTTTAGTAGCTTCTTAGATTTTATTTGAATTTCTTTGATTGTCACCTTCTGCACAAAAACACCCCCTTTGTTACTGTGAATTTGAAAATAAATAGTTACACCCAGTCCCTGTGGATTCAACCCTGCTTACCACTATTTACAAAAATTAATTTTAGTTTAGCAGGTTTTGATTATTGCACAGGCCTGACACATGTCACTATAGTATTTTTTTTAAATATTCCAAATAATTTACAATCCAAACACACTTATTATACCCTTAAAATGATTGAAATGACGAAAACTATGAATGTTACAAGCTCCTAATTTATTTTATGGCAGCAATAGCACCGTCCATATCAGAATTTCATATCGAGAAGATCTTTCTTATCTTTGGTAGAATTAAAACCTATGGCGAGTAGGCAGCATTGTATCCTTAAAATCATGAAAAATAAAAATTTACAAACTCTATGACTTTAAAAGTTACATGAAACTGTTGGCCACTAACTTAATCAAATTTATTATTATTCTATTTTCTTATCTCTAAATTTTAGATACTGTTGGCCACTGAGTTTTGACACTTGCAAATTTTTAAAATCCTAAGCGATGAGAAGTAATGATCGAGAAACTTTTGTGTATGTTTGTAACTCCATATGATAGTACTAAATCCTAAATGCTTTAAACATTTTTCGTATTCTAGTTTTCAATTTTTTAAAGTTATTTCATATCCAAATAGTATTTAACTATCTTGTAATGCTTTACTAGTTCTCTAAACTTGAAAATTTTGAGTTGGAAGAGCTAGCAATGGCTTATAAGGACTCCCCTCGAATACACTCTTCCCAGCTCTACTTCATTATCTACGTGGCAGTATAATATTCATTGAGGGATTTCACTTGGCATGCCACTAGTTTTAGTTGCCAATGTTTTTACTTTTCCCCAGCATTCTGGATGATTGGCGAGAAGGAACAATTGGAAGCAGATATCTGCTTTTTTTTTTTTTTTCCATTTTGTCTGAAGCAAGAAATGATCCATCAATCCTTTGGATGAGCTGGTCGCAGAAGTTCTACAAGATTAAGTGGAATTCGACGACTTCTTGTGCATCAACCAATAGGGTAGTAGTAGTACTACTACTACAACTTGCTGCTACTATTGTCCAAGAAAAGATCGGCCTGCAAATATTGGTGGCTATTAGCTGGTTGATGTATTTCAACTTTATCACAATTGTCGTTTTAATGATCCAAGTCCGGTTGTTCTTGTTTGAATACAAGGCTTGACAATTATTTGATCAGGACCTGAGAGAATTATTCCAAGTTTTTGATCAAGACACAGATTTGCGAAGACACTCAAGCCAATGGACTAAATCCAGTTTGTACCTCTAAACTCGTGACGTATTCTCTCACTTCATACCGCAATTTCAATTTTGGCCACTTTCCTGGCATAAGCATTTACAATTGTCCCCAATTCAAACCTTCTGTTTATTACAATAAAAGATTTGGATATTACACGGATACACATAGGCATGTCAACATGTCAGATCTTATCCAAATCTAATTTAGATCCATTATACTTGAGTAGTGTTTTGATTTAATTTGTCAAATTCAAACTCTACTTGGACCCGGACTTTGTAAGAGAGTTATGGGTCTTGATAGGATTTAATTTTCTATAATCCAAATCCAAACACACACACACACACACATATATAGTAGATTTATAAAAGAGTAAAAGCAAATAAATGAAAGATTGAATGAAAATGCTGATGAACCTTTGAAAATAATTAGCTTTAGTTAATAATAGTTCTTTCTTTGAGTACATAATATTGCATTCAACATCTTGAATGTTAATTTTATTATTTGAAAATAAAAATTGGATGATATTTATGTTATTTTTAAACTATTTAAAACATTTTTACTTTAATTCTTTATTGTGTGTTTAGAAAAGTATCCATGGGCACCTGTTGAATACTCAAACCCATGAGTGTCGGATTTGGATTTTTTTTTTTAGACCCATAAGAGTCTGGATTTAACTAAAGTTTGGATGTGAATAAAAAAATCCAATCCGAATCCTATCCATTGACATGACTAACTACACACCATGCACCATTATTGAATGGGTCAAATATCATTCCCCCCCCCACCCCCCTTTTACTACCCTTTTATGGATTTTTTAGATGTGGAATACGCATAAATAGGGTTTTATTTGGCATTTTACACCGCTCTAATAAATTCAAATGTCTGGACAGATTGTAATCTATTATTATGGATTTTTTAGATGTGGAATACGCATAAATAGGGATTTATTTGGCATTTTACACCCTCATAATGATTTCTTATAAATTGTTTCTTTAATTTCTTACAATTTTTCAACCGCAGAATATCACTTAAGTTATAAAAGGGTTTTTTTAGGGAAAATCATAAAAGGTTAAGGTACAAATTTCTAAATGAATAAAAGGACTTGGTTACAACTTTAGGTGTTAATGAAAGTAAAGGAAAATAAACTTGTTCGTAGAATAATTTTTTTAAATCGGGGTGCGGCGTGCCCAACCTGCAATACAACGCCAGACAACTCCCGAAGACCCCCAACTAGCAAGTATTATAATTTGCTTTCCCCCTAAAATAAAATTCACTTAATATTCCCCTGACCCACGAGCCCAGGTACCAAATGATGTATTAAATTGGTAAGAACAGTTACTACACAGTTTGTTCCAACAAATGAACCAATACATCATGAGTAAATTTTATATGCACTGACGATATATATATTATCACCGTTGGATTCATAATGCATGTACAAAATTTGAATTTCAAATTTAAATTTTATATAGTTATTATTCATTCAAAATTGATGGTGTATATAAAATCACTGTATAGAAGATTAATCCATATTTTATACTGTTCATACTTGGGGAGAGATTTAGGATTATATGGGACAAATATAATAAGAGATATTATACATTTGTATATCATATGAATTTTTTTAAAACACAATTAAAAGTTCATCGTAAAAATATGAGTTTGAAAAAGTTATGCATACAAATTTGTATGTAAACAGTGAGGACATATTTGATAGTTATGAAAGAAAGAAAAGATAAATTACCTGTCAAAATTGTAGTTGGATTTTTTGCGATATTTTAAAAAGATTGTTACAATAAAATAAGATCTTGGTGAAACAAATAAATATATAGGTGAATTTTACTAATACTTAAAATTAACTTCCTCCAATGATATCACAGGTAAGAGAAACTTCTGGAGATAACACGTTCATTGG